TTCCGAGACCTCATCTCTACAATAAATCAAAAAATCAGCCGGGTGTGGTAGCGCGCGCCTGTAGTTCCAGCTACTTGGAAGACTGAGGCAGAGAAGGATCGCCGGAGCCCAGCAGGTCGAGGCTGCGGTGGCTGGGAGTGGCCACTGCACTCCAGTCTGGGCGACAGAGTGAGACTCCAACTCAAAAAAAAAAAAGAATACGGACAGTAAAATTAAGGATTGTTGTTCTGTAGCTGAATTTGTTGCATGAAATTCTACTCCTCACCTTGTTAATTCTTCCTTGAAAATTATCTTTAAGACAATCATAGAAGTATTGTAATCTAGTTGGTAAAGTACATGACTGTTTGCATGGTATCGATTGGTACATTGTAATATTTACTAGTGTTAACTCTATTATGATAGCTACATTAGAATTGTGTTTTATGCTATTGTTGGGGTTCATGCTGTGAACTGTATTCCAAGTGAGGCTGAGTCTAATATATTTACAATGTTTTTGGTAATTAAATCCCTTTGAATGAGGTCTCAAGCCTCTGTATACTTTTGTTTGACAGTGGAAATGTTTTAATATGTTATTAACATATATGTACTCATTTAACAAATGTGTAGCAATCGTCTGCCTTATGCCAGGTACTGGTCTGCGCATTGTATAGATAAGCAGTGAACAAGATAAAGTCCCTGCCCTAATTGGGAAGAACAAAAGACAGAATGTCACGCAATGAAGAGTACCATGAATAGGAGGAACTGAAAAGGAGATTGCACTCCCTCTCTCTCGAAAGTTGCTCCCATCAACCACAAACAGATTGCTTCTCCCTTCCCAAGAAAACCTTTTTTGACTCTACCTCTGCTCTAGCTTCTGCCCCATTTCTCAGCAAAGCATGTAGAAAGTCTTATCTGTCTGTGTCTTATATTCTTCTCCCTGTTTTCACTGACCTATTCCAGTAATCTCTTGCTCTCAGTACTTGAGTAAAATTGCATTTTCAAGGTTACCAATGACTTCCATGTTACAGAATTCAATGATCAGGCCCGTGCGCATCTTATTTAACCTCATCAGCAGCATTTGACAATGTGTGGATCACTTCTCCTTCTTGAAACACTTCATTCAGAATGATGGCTTCCAGAATGCCACACTTACTGGATTTCCTCCTGCCACACTGGTGGTTAGTCTTCATTTCCCACTAACCACTTAGCCTTGGAATGCTCTTGGATGCAGTTCTTGGAGCTCTCATTTTCTACTGAGACCAGCTTCCTTGGTGATCACATTTAGTTTCAAAGGTTTAAATACCATCTATATGCTGAAGATTCTCAAATGTGCATCTTCATTGTTTCTGGACCTCTTGACTAAGATCAAATCAAATGCATATCTTCAGCCCTGTAGCTCTTCAGTTGCCTGTTTGACAGCTAATGGTGTCTGACACGTAGTGTGTCCAAAATTGAACTTTTGATTCTGTGACCTAAACTTAGTCCAACCGTGGTCTTTTCTGTTTTTGTGGTGGTTGTTGTTTTTGAGATGGAGCCTCTGTTGCCCAGGCTGGAGTGCAGTGGCACGTTCATGGCCACCACAGCCTTGATCTGCTGAGCTCAGGGCATCCTTCTGCCTCAGCCTTCCATGTAGCTGGAACTTCAGGCACGTGCCACCATGCCTGGCTAATTTTTTTTTTAATTGTAGAGACAGGGTCTCACCATGTTGTCCAGGCTGGTCTCAAATCCGTGGGCTCAGGCAATCCTCTTGCCTCCACCTCCCTAAGTGCTGGGATTACAGGCATGAGCTACTGTGCCTGGCTATTCTTTTCTGTCTGTTAATCCATCTGTGTTTCCAGTTCCTTAAGCTAAGAATCTCAATATCTTTCTTTCATATACCACCTCCAATCTATTAGTAAAATCTTTAGTTCTATCTTCAGTCTGTATCCTGAATCTGACCACTTCTCACCATTTCTGGCATACTACCCTTATCTGGCACGTTGTTGTATCTTCTTTTTGGTCTCCCTACTCCTGTCATTTTTTTTTTTTCTTCTCTATATCCTGTTCCCCAGGTGGTAGCCACAGAGAGCCTCTTAAAATGGAAGCAAGTCATGTTATTTCTCTGCTCAAGACTCTGTATTGTGTTTTCATTTTACTGAAAATAAAAATCTAAGTCTTCACAGTTTGTTGCAAAGCCCTTTATGACTTGTTTCCCCATCCCTTTCCTTCCTCCAACCTCATCTCCCGTTACTCTCTTCCTCCATCCCTTACTGACTTTTTTGCTCTTCTCTGAAAGTGTCAGATGTGCTTCTACTTCTACCCCAGAGAGCTTCTGCATTTGCTGTTTCTTCTGCCTGGAAGGATTATTCTTTGGATAGATGTATAATGGGTTTTCTCACCTCCTTTTAAATATTTGCTTAAAAGTCAGCTTTTCCGTGAGACCTTCCCTATCTCACATAAAATGGTATTTTCCTCTTTGACACTCCTTGCTTTACCTTTTGCCTTATCTACTCCACAGAACAGATCACATTCTAATACACTATATTATTTACCTTTTTTGTCTGTCTCCCCTGAGTAGAATGTAAAATCTACATGGCAACCATTTAAAAAATCTATCCTGCTTATTGCTGTTCTCTCAGTACTCAGAACAATGATAGGGGCACTGTTGTTAATAACTAGGGGACCTTAATGAAATGGGAGCCAGATTTTGCACATATCTGGAGAAAAGCATCATAAGCAAGAGGAAGCGCAAGTGTAAAGGCTCTGAGATGGGACTCCAGGAGTAGCCAAAGGCTTGTGTGGTTGGAGTTTGGGGAGCAAAAGAGAGAGTATTGGGAAGGGCTGTCAAAGAAATAGTCCCCAAATTTATAGTGAAGACTTTAGAATATACAATATTTAGACATTTCCAGGCACTCTAGAGAGGACCAAGTTGATATCATTTTGCAGTTAATACTGAGAGTTACATTCTAAAAGTAACAAAGTATTTTTCTAAAGCTACATCTTAAGCATAAGAATTTCTCTGATGCTAGTTTTTGACTATATGGTAGACTTTCTAGATTGTTAAACCAGAAATATTTTCATTTTATGTCTCATCAAATATAAATTTCTCGGCAAAACTTTCATTTTATAAAAGCACCTAGTGCCATTAGTTCCACTGCTTAAAAATAAGCATTATATTGAAAAATAATTTACGGATTTAAATCTTTGTACTTTAATGGAATTTTGATAGTTTTCATGATAAGTTTTCCATTTAATTGGGTAACATAAGTTGGAAATGTATATGGAAATATGTTTATTGGAAAGGATAGAATTTGAAGGCAAAAGACTTGGGTTTGAGCCCTGGACATGTTGATATATTCTTAAGGTAGAATACTTATTTTTAAAGTTAAATTATTTGTGAATATACTAAGTATTTTTTGTAACATAATATTATACATCTATTAATTTTTAAATGTTTTTGTATTCTTTAAAAGGGCGATTACTGAGAGCTAATCAGATTAGTTTCAACTGGGACAGGCTTGCTAGCTGGATCAACCTTACTGAACAGTGGCCATATCGGACTTCATGGCTCATACTGTATTTGGAAGAGACTGAAGGTATTCCAGATCACATGACATTAAAAACCATCTATGAAAGGTACTTTCTTTTGACCTCCTTGTATTTAACTTAGTTTGAGTTTAAAAAAAAAAAGAATTAATGTATATAAAGCAAACTGAATACAAAATAATATGTATAAAATGTACACTTCTGGATTCAATTAATTGTTTTTATCAATTCCATTATAATTTTGGAGTTGTATTAGCACAGGCATATGTCCCATTAGGTAAAATTTACAACTTTATTTGGAAATATTCTTACTTTCTCAGGTATATAAAGTTTTAATAGTTACCAGTTTCTTGCCAAGTTATCAAAGTTATAATGCTTTTTGTTTACCAGAGCACTTCAATACTATCAAAGGCTTCAATTGCTATTCTAAATAAACTCTCTCTTAGAAAAAAGATAATACAAGGAAACTATACAAATAATTTTATAAAATGAATATAATTGAAACTACTGTTTTGAAATGTAAATTAAATCTTACAAGAGATTTAGTGTATAGTTTATATATTAAAACTTTTAAAAGTTCAAATAGTTTTTCTTCCCCTAGAGTATTTCAGTGTATGGTTTTCCTGATTTTTGAATCTCCATTTTTCATGTACATATTTTATTTAATATTTCTAGGCAAATAACTGGTTTTAGAATTGTAGAGTATTGGTATAGGATTGGGCTTAAAGATTTGAGCTCTTCTAGGTTTTTCTGTTTAATTTTTGCTAAATTAGTGGTAGAGGCCATATGTGCTATATCAAGTAGATTTTCCAGTAGATACAGGGATGCAAGTTACCATAGTTCTATGGGAAAGTGAACTGAATCGCATCTGGCCTTCGATATTTTAGAAATTAACTTATTGTGAGATACATGATTGTGTCATAAAATAAGTTTTATGTCCTGAATACACATTTATATCATAATCCAAGTGCTGTGTTATATATGAGCATGTTATTAGATATGAGCACAGTAATAATTAAACAGTTAAAGCATAACTCTTAAAAAGTTTCAACTTCTTAATAATAATTCATACCAATATTATGGGGTTTATTTTTGACATGGTATATTTATACATAGAGCCCTATTTAACATAAACAAGTAGTCCTTTCGCATTCTCATTTATCCTTGAGATTGTTTTTACTTGTGTGTAAATAAAAGCAGGTTTTAAAAAAAGGATAAACCTTCATTTAGGAACTATGAACTGGATTTGAAGGTAGGAAAAATTGCAGTAGAGTGGAGGGGTGGCTTAAGAAACAATAGGGGAAGTAATTTGAAGCTGCTTTCGTTTCTTAGATGCTGTCTGAATTGGTATTATTCAAGAGTGATCTATTACTCTAGAAATACCTTTCTAGGTTTCAGGAAATTTGAACTCATGTAGACAGGAGAACTAGTCTATTCACAGGAGTCTTTACTTAAGGAGTGCAGGTTATCTAGCATCTCTAAATATCCTCCCTAATACCAGGTACTCTGCTATTTGCCTTATGTATTCTTGGCTCTTGATAAAGCTCACAGAAGTGGTTAGAATTGTTCCATGTGATTAGCAAAGAAGCTTGAGGTTCAGAAAATTTAAGTAACTTCTCGAAGATACTCAGCTCTTAAGAAGCAAAACGGATGTTTCAATCCAGCTCCCTCAGACTTTGTACACTACTCATATGCCTATTACTATTCTAAGCTCTTTATGTTTTAACTTTAACTTCTTTTATTCTTAAAATTCCAAATGGGATACTTTTGTTATCCTCATTTTGCACATAAGAAAAACTGAAGCCTAGAGAAGGAAAGTCACTTGCTGAAAGTCTCACAAGGCAGTAAGTGGTAGCATTGAAGTTTGAAACAAGGCATTCTGCCTTGAGGGTCTGTGCTCAAAATATGCTGAATTGTTCTCATGACATCATTGTAGTAGTGAAACTTCTTTAAGCTAAAGCACTGTCAGAAATACTTAAGAAACTAAATTTTATCATAAAATTTAGAGTCTGAAGTTTTTATATTTTTGTGTTCTTTTTTCTAGAACATCACAAGTTTGTATATATAATATTTTAAGTAAAAATTATTATTATTATCTTTTCCAGTTTTCCTTTTTTTCTTTCTTTTTAATTTTTTAAATGGAATACATAGTTCATGCCATTCTTTGATTTTGGTTCAGAATAGAACTCAAGTCAGTCTCCTTACCTTCCTTTAATTGAATATAGTTTGTATACTGTGTCTCAGGGTTATAGAAACATTGATCAATATTGATCAATATTTCCCATTTCAAGGACTGTGTGCTGGAGTCCCAGGAACTGGGCTCCACATGTTCTGGGAAGAGGGTGGGAAGGGGTGAAAGAAAATCTGTACTTCAGACACAGGAGGTAGAAGTAGAAAAGATGTGAAAATAAAAAGTTGTAAAGGCCCTCCAAAAAAATGCATATTTCAGTTCAATCCAGCAAACATTTATTCATCATCTGCTGTTTATACATCCTGTTACTAGATGCTGAGGATATTATCATTTGGATATAATGTGTCTTTCTGAAACTGTGACTCTTCTTAAAGAAACCAAGATGAACAGGTGTTAGAGGCCCCATTGTCTCCTTAGTTTTGCTCATTAATGTGTATCCAGTTTGAGTTTTTTCTAGGAGTCCAGCCTTACGTAATTGTTCTTTATGCTTTTGTGTGTTCTAGGGACTGGCAAGGGAGATGGGGTGAATAGAGGAACAAATAGAAAAGCATCTTATGCCCTTGAGGAACTTACATTTAAAAAGATGTTTTTTCTCTCTATTTGAAAATACTTTCACTTAAAAAAAGTTGCAAGAAAGAATAGTACAATGAACACCCATAAGCCCTGTATCTGGATTCAGCTGTTGTGAATATTTTACTGTGCTTGCTTCATCATTTACACTCATGCAGTGTTGAGGAACTTATATTTTGAAGGTAAAACATAAACATGTTTGAGATAACTAGAAGAAAGAAAAATGATGGCTCAATTAACCAATTAAGTTTTATCAGTATCAGGCTAAATCATTGTTTCTAGATGATAGAAAACTTCTTAGCCCAACAGTTACTGTTGTTTGCTAACAGAAAGTGGTTTGACTTTTTAAAACTTCCACTCTTCAGTATTTTGAGCCTCATAAATAATATTTTAAAATTTACATTATAAATTAATTAAAAGATATATTTTGGACAAAAGAGAATATAAAACATAAAGCTTAAAGATAATAGTAATTATGACACCATGCTTATGAAATAGAATATTCCTGTAATCCCAGCACTTTGGGAGGCCGAGGCAAGAAGATTGCCTGAGTCCAGGGGTTTGAGACCAGCCTAGGCAATTTGGTGAGACCTCGTCTTTACAATAAGTCACAAAAAATTAACTGGGCATGGTGGCGTGCATCTATAATTTCAGCTACTTGGAAAGCTGAGGCAGAAGGATTGTCTAAGCCCAGCAGGTAAGGGTGCAGTGGCCGTGAGCATGCCACTGCACTCTAGCCTGGGCGACAGAGTGAGACTCCAACTCAAAAAGAAAGAAAGAAAGAAATAGAATATTTGTAGAGGAAATATTTTGGAGGAGGCATTTTGTATCATGTAACAAAAATAACTTGGAGTGAATTTGGGTAGGGGAATATTTTATTTTGTTCAAAAAATATAGACTATTTTATATTTGAAGTGATATGAATTTTGTTTTATTGTTAAGCCAACTTATTACTTAAACTTATTGCTTAAGCACTCGGTGGGCTTGCCATCCTTAAGTGGGTTGGATTCAGGGTGATTTTGAGATGCTTTTTGTTGTTGAAATTAGTATATATGTCTTATATGCCTACAATTACTTACACAGCTTATTTTGTAGCTAGTCTAAAGAAGAGATAAAGACAGTATAGTAAACAATCTTTATAAGAATTCATAAGAAATTTACTTAAAATAAATACATATAATAAGATGAATCGGAATGAAAAACTCTAGGAAGACAATGTCATCAACATATTGAAAAGCCAGATATTGGGTTATGTGAGAATAATTTAGATGGCTCTGTTTCTAGTTAACTATAGTTGAGTTCTTTGATGCTATAGCTTGTCATTTGAATAATAAAAAGTTTTATTTACAGCTGACAAAAAACAGCAGTATATAATTGATATTCATTTATTTTATTAAAGAAATCTGATTTGGTAAAAACAATCAGAAAATAGTATTTTTAACGCTAGTAGTAAAATTTATTTTTTTAATCCATAAAAAGCCTCATTTATTTTTATAGCAATTTGATGACACATCTGCTTGCTTTATTCAGCTGAAAAAGAAAATGTTGGTTCTTGGTGTTTGGTAAAATTGCTTTGTTAAATTATTTTCTAAATTGTTCAACTTTTAACAAATGACATTTGATACTAACACTGGAAAGCAATTTCAGCTAATTAAGTAGATCCCTCTATAAACCATTGGAACATTAAGATGACATACTGTTCATTCAAGATTATTTTAATTGGTACAATTATTGTAATTTTCTTGCAATTATGTGTTGAGCTAAAAGCTTTTGTCTAGATCATTTGGGAGGTTTTTTTTTGTTAACATACATTTAGTAAGAAGAAAGGGAGTAAAATAAAAACTGTAGATAAAGATTTTCTGTCTACTTTTTATTACAGCATTTTAGACAACCATTGAAATATTTTAGTATAAAACTTTATTTCTGGTATTTTAGGCAATGACAGAGGTTTTCAAAAGATCAATTTAAGTAGTTTTCATGAAGATAATGTTTTAAATTTCTGTTTTGACACTGCTCAAGCAATCTTTTACTCAGGATGATATGATCAGGATAATTTTGTGATAAGGGTAACAGCATACTTTATTCTGGTACTCTATATGGATTTTAAAAAAACAACTGAATAAGTTCTGAGGGAACTTCAGAATGGCAGCCATTTTCCATTTTATTGCAAAGAGCTATTTGTTGAACAGACACTTAACATATGACTTTATAGACCTCTGTGATCTCTTTAAGTCATTCAAGTAATGGTATTTTACACATTACTTAGGTCATTTTTTATAATAAAACATTTTTGATGACATTTTTTCCTGATATTCACACAGAGTTTTCA